AACTAACACTGTGTAATCTGCCTTAAGTCTCAGTGAGAATGGTGGACTAAAAATAAACCAAACAAATATATACATATTCCATGCTTGTTGGTCCTTCAGTGCAAATTGTTGGCCACTGTGTGAGAGAGGATGATGGACCAGATGGACCAGTGCCTTTACCCAGCTAGGCTCTTCTTATGTCCTTCCCATGTCCTTCTTCATTGCCCTTTCCACTGGAAATATCATGGGTGGCTATACAGAACAGACTTCTCAACCGTGGCACCCTGTTAAGTATGCAACTCAACAACGTGGTAAGTAACAAGTGAATCAGCTTTATTAAGAACGAGAACATCAGAAGATCACACAGAACAACAAACAGTGGAGCACAGCTCCTTTTTAAACAATCCCGGGCTGGTGTAGCCACGCCCTCACATAGTTAACGGCCAATAGCAATACAGAGATAACATCCAGTCATTCATCTTCCCTCCAGCACAGTTCTCTTACATTTGATTGGTTACACATATGCTTTAGCCAATGAGATTGTTCCAGATTAGAATCCTGGCTAAGGTTCCAAGCTTAACATTAGTTTAGATAAGGTGGTGACACAACAATTCCTCCCCCCTAAGATGGAACAATACCCGTACATACGTAATCTTTCAAGTAGGGAGGGGCACACCTTGTTCAACCCAACCTGAGAATAGGTTCTGGTGGTGCTATGGTCTCAGGAACTCTGGAGGGCTCACTTTCCAGTGAGTCTGGCTGGCCGGTGTCTGAGAGGTCACTGTCTTGAGTGGGGAAGTGCCCACACTCTGGTTCTATGGGGGGCTCAGCAACACTCACCTCCTCATCTGGAGGCCCTCGTTGCTCACCTTCTGGGTAAGGGATCATGTCAGGTTCGATGCTGGACTTGAGACTGGAGTCAGCCCACCTCTGCCTGAGCTGATCTATGTGGCACCACAATTTCCTGCCGTTTGCTAGCTGCGCCACATACATCCGGGAACCCAGAACGGTAGAAATAAGGGCGGGAAGCCATAAGTGACCCTCTCCGTAGTTCCGCGCAAATACTTTGTCTCCCTGTTTGAATATGTGCAGGCTTTCCAGGACCTCTGTTCTAGGGGGCCGGGTTTCTGCCGGGTCCGGATGGAGCCTGTCCAGAAGGGTTGTGAGTCTGCAACCCATAAGGAGCTCAGCCGGGCTCCTCCCAGTTGCGGTGCAAGGCATGATGTGTTGCCTCAGGAGGAATGAGGCTAACTTCTGCCCCCAGTCCCCTGGCCCCAACTTTTTTAGCGCCTCCTTAGTTGTCCGAACCATCCGTTCGGCTTGCCTGTTTGTGGCTGGATGGAAAGGCGCAGACGTTACATGTTTTATTAAGTTGTCCCCCAGAAACTTAGCAAACTCTGACGAGGTGAACTGGGGCCCGTTATCGGACACCAATACGTCCGGTAACCCGTGGATTGCAAAGACACGGCGCAACACATTAATTACAGCAGTGGAAGTGATGGTACGCATGTTTACAACCTCCAACCACTTCGAAAAAGAATCAACCAAAATCAAAAACATTTGGCCTTGGAACGGCCCAGCAAAATCAATACGTAAACGAGACCAAGGCTTATTTGTGCTCTCCCAGTGTTGGAAAGGAGCTTGAGGAGGATCAGGTCTCGATTGTTGACACATCATACAGTTCTGGACCCACTCCTCTATGTCCGCATCCAGCTTGGGCCACCAGACATAGCTCCTTGCCAGAGCTTTCATATGGACTATGCCTGGATGGCCATCGTGGAGCGCTTCCAACACTTTTTCCTAAGTCTGGGCGGTACCACCACCCGGTTTCCCCATAATAAACAGCCTTTATTAACAGTGAGCTCCGTTTGCCTGGAGCTGTATGGCCGAAACTCCGGCTCCACTTGACCTGCCAGCCACCCCCTCCAAACCCAGTTAAGGGCTCGGGAGAGGGTAGAGTCCTTTGCCATGTTTTTGCAGCATGGTGTTGTCACAGAGCCGTGGCACCGTGATTTCTGTGGTGCAGGTTGTGGCCATGGACATGATATGGGATTTAATGGTATGTTTGGGGTGTCCCAACACAAAAAAACCAAGCATCCTTGAGGATCCGTGCTTCAGAATCATGTTTTTACAGAATGGTTTCACCACAAAGCCGTGGATCTGTGATTTTTGTGGTGCCCCTTGTAGACTAACACATGGCCTACAATATGATGGTCGTTTTATTTCGTTTCAGTGTAAAAATCATATGAATTCATGAGGATCCGTCCTTTGGAATCATGTTTTTGTGCTGCTGTGGTGCCACGAATCTGTGGGTGCGTGATTTTTGTGGTGCCCCTTGTAGACTAACACATGGCCTACAATATGATGGTCGTTTTATTTCGTTTCAGTGTAAAAATCATATGAATTCATGAGGATCCGTCCTTTGGAATCATGTTTTTGTGCTGCTGTGGTGCCACGAATCTGTGGGTGCGTGATTTTTGTGGTGCCCCTTGTAGACTAACACATGGCCTACAATATGATGGTCGTTTTATTTCGTTTCAGTGTAAAAATCATATGAATTCATGAGGATCCATTTAGATCTGACTTTTACCCAGACCCGGTAGAAGAGCGAAAATGTCAGGAAACCAGAAAGAAACACACAGGTGGATTCGACCTGAAAGGCAATGCTAAAGTGGCTTGGATATTTCAGATACAAGCCACTTTAGCATCGCCATCGCCTTTCCTGGGCGGGGGGGGGGGGGGGGGAGAGTGTAAGGTGATGCTAAAGTGGCTTGTATCTGAAATATCCAAGCCACTTGAGCATCGCCTTTCCCCGGCTGTCTGGTGGGTGGGGGGGGAAGAGACTGAAAGGGGATGCTAAAATGGCTTGAATCTGAAGGATCCACACCCCTTTAGCATCGCCTTCCCCCGCGGTCTTGTTCGGAAGGGGGTGTGTGGAAAAGACTGAAAGGCGATGCTACGTGGCTTGGATCTTTAGCATTACCTTTCCCAGGCTGTCTGGTTCAGAGCGGGGGGGGGGAGAGAGAGAGAGACTGATAGAAGCTCAGACTGCGCTTCACTCCAGCCTTTCTCCGTGGAATGCGCTTCTCAAACTCTGATTTCATTTCACACACCCATAAATGGGGAAACGGCCACTTCCCCGTTCCTGGGGGGAGCTCCGGTTCCAGGCGGCTGTCACTTTCGGGTGTGAGACGAGAGAAGCGGAAGTGCATAGGAATCAAAACGGGGCAAGACGGCGTTTCAAATTAATCCAGCCTTCTCAGGTCCAGGCCTCGCTATCTCCAAGGAAAGAGATGGTGTGACACCTGCTCTGGGGGCAGGGGACTGGCTGGTATTTTACGGAGGTGAAACTATGAACCGCTGTTGGAAATCGGAAATCATCTCTCTTCAGACGATGTCTTCCTGGAACTACTGCGCGCTCTTTACGTATCATGTGAGGTCCTTGAAACAGATTCTCGTTTATTGGGTGGTTTGTATAGGGTAGGCGGGAGGAGCAAGTCTACCCCCCAGGTCTTCTGCAACAGAACGGAAGTGGTTTCTGCGCGTGCGTGTTCCATGACATGCTGCTTTTGGTAAGATCTTTGGTGTGCCTGTTCCTGGAAATGGAAAGTTAATATTATTTTGGTTGGCGGGGTCGCTGCAGCGGTAAGATTTACAAGAGAGCGTGTGGGAGGTTAGAAAGAGGTGTGTTTAGCAGGGTGGCGCTCTGTTTCGAACTGTTCTACTCATATAATTTAGGAAAGTACTTGGATTTTTTTTGTTGTTGTCAGCCTCTCATTGGCTACATAAGCCTCTGGATGTATCCAGTGTTAATGGCAGGTACGAATAGTGCTCTATTGTGCTTTCAGCTTCGCACGTTTTGTTGTAATGCTGAAAGAATTCCCTGTAAATCTATCTAGCTGGTATGTTTTCCCTGCCTTTCCTCTGAAGAGCTTAGGGTGACGTAAATGATTCTCTGTTACTCATTTTATCCCAATATCAATCCTGTGTGGTGGGCTAGGCTGAGTGTGTGACCTGTCCAATTTTGCTCAGTGAGATTCATGACAATGTTGGTAAAGTACGCTAATATTAGTATTCCTGATTTGCAAATGAAGAGCTGAGAGAAAGTGGTTTTTGTAAAGCCACCCAGTGAGCTTGTGGCGAAAGGGAGATTTGAATTGGGGACCTACCAGATCACAAGTCATTCCCGTATTTGCTATGCTGGCCTTAAACCGAAAAGATAACTGCCCATTGTGGATAGTGGTGACCAGGGGTCATGTCCTGCAGGAGCGCACAGGAGCGGAGCTCGGGCAGTAAAGAGCCCAGAGGGTGGGCACATGCAACAAGCCCCACCCCCTGCTTCCAGCAGCCCTCAGTCAGAGCAAGAAGCAGCCAAGTAAGCTGCAGAGCCCCCCCACCCCCGCCCAAAACAGTCCAGTGGCACCTTTAAGACCAAGTTTTATTCAGGTACAAGCTCTCTCTCCTCGGGGCCGGTTCCGCCCCTCCCCCCCCCCCCCCATAGCTAGCAATCCAACCTGAGCGGTGGGTGTTGTCTTCTGACACCCTTCCCGTGATGTCAGGGGGATGTGGCATATGCAAATAAGTTATGCTAATGAGCTCCTGCACCTCTTTTTCTACGAAATGACCCCTGGTGGTGACTATTCTGTGTGCACACGCTGCCTAGGAGGGCTTTTTAAAAAGGGGGGGGGGATGCTGGAACTCTCAAGAGGGAAATGAAGTTTTCAATCTATATACTGAAATCTCATAAACTTTAAAAAAAATTAAAATAGTTTTGTCAAAGAGGTTCCGGAACTCCATTCCAGTGTATTCCCCCAGGAAAAAAAGCCCTGCTGCCTGGTATCCCTGTGTGTTGATGTGCATAAACCGTGGTCTGGAGGCTTCGATTCTTTCCTTGTGCCTTAAAAATGATGCAGGAAGCAGTGTTTAATGTATTAAGGCTGCTTTATCCCTAACATTCAGAATATGAAAAGATAACTGACATAGCTATGTAACCCTACCATTTCCATGGAGCTAGAATAAGGTCCAGTAGAAACCAGTAATACTTTTAAGTCCAAGAAAGGTTGTTTGTTAATATGAAAGAGATGGTAACAGAAAAGTGAGGGGTAACAACAGCATCACTGGGGAACGTAAAGGGATTCCTTACTTCTATGCAACTACATTCCTCTCTTTTCCACTGAAGTCTATTACAACCTTCCAGAAGGGACGAAGAGATTCTTGCTTTAGACGGAGAAGTTCTTGCTTTAGACCAGGACTGGATTAAGTAGGTACTTGGATTAAAATGGCAATGATGTGCTGATGGATTAGACCAGCGGGCCATCTAATCCAACATCTGTCTCACACAGTGCAGACTGCTATCCTGGATGTTCAACAGGGCATAGAGGTCAGGGCCTTATACTGGTGCTGTTTCCTATCACTGGTATTAATGTGTCCCCTTAATCTTTTCACCAAATGGAAAAGCCCCAAACTCTTTAGCCTTTCCTTGTAGGAAAGATGCTCCAACCCCTTAATCATGATTGCTACCTTCTGCACTTTACCAGCTCTGCAGTTTTTTTGAGGGATGGTGACCAGAACTGTACACAGTATTCCAAATGTGATTGTATCATAGACCTGTACAAAAGCATTACAAAATGGACTGTTTTGTTTTCAGCCCCTTTCCTAATGATCTATAGTTTGAGTTTGTCTTTTTCCCCTACTGCTGCTACACAGAGTTGACATTTTAAGACAATGTAGCAGATGCTCCCCTTACGTTTCTCAGATTTAAGGGGGGGGAGGCATAGAAAACGTGTGTGTGTTTTTTTTGCTGTCAAGTCACAGCTGATTTATGGCAACCCCATAGTGTTTTCAAGGCAACATATGATCAGAGGTGGTTTGCCGTTGCTTGCCTCTGTATATAATGACCCAGGTATTCCTTGGTGGTCTCCCATCTAAATACAGATCAGGGCTGACCCTGCTTAGCTTCCAAGATCTGATGAGGCTGGGCTTGCCCGGGCTATCCATGTCAGGGCAAATGTTCTTTTGTGGCCCTATGCTCGTAGAAAACTACTGAGACACTTTTTAGAACTCTCAAAGAAGTGTGTGGGATACATGAATGTGGTTGTCAGTTCATCTATTCCAACAATTTAATTCTCCATGGTCACTTGCATTACTTGTTAGTTCCATATCAGACTGGTAATTGCAATATCCCTTCATCATGTGAGAGGAGGCATATAAATAAGAATTCCAGCTTTGGTTTTGATTTGACCTCCACAGCCAATCAGGCAGATTCATAATTATTTTGTATTTTAAAATACATAAAATATAAAATATGTAGTCGTGTTTTTAACCCCCCTTCCCGAGCTTACAAATCAGTAAAACAAACATTCTCATACAATTCCCAAGGATAAGCACTAGAGATATATTAATTTCAGCTTTGAAACTGCCAAACTTACAAAATATTGGCAAGGGTATCCATCCATTGCTGTAAATTTTCTGAAACCATAAATCTTTAGAAATGGAAATTTTTCTGTAAAAAGATAAAAGCACTGAAAATATTTCTATTTCAGAAAAATGTCCACCCCACATCTCTTTGTGGTGTGGCTTTCTTAACCTGAAGTATGCATTATATCTGGGCCTTAATTAGTGTTGTTTTAAATAGATTCAAAGTATTGTGATGTGATCTGATTCTCATGATTCTTTCCACTTTCTTCTTACTACTCCTGTAATTGTTTTGGAGTTCCAGCTTTAGAAATCAAATGTGATTGATTGGCAGCAACTTTCCATTGACATAGCAGTTGAATTTAATAGCATTGTGGCCACTGTTCTCAGTTCTTGTAACAATTGAGAACAATTGTAACAACATCTATTGTCCAGTTCTAGGCTGTTCCCACAAAAAGTATTGCGAACGTTGCCTCTATCATCACACCTTGTATGCTGTGACATGTGAGCATTGTGCCTGCCTTTGGTGCCTGTCTATTTTGTAGCCTGTTTGGAAGTCTATAAAGTGGCTCTTAGTGGCATCTTGAAGACAGACTGAGAAGCATGTTCCCAGTTGGCCTGTGAATTTTTTTCTTGGAGACAGCTCTCACAATGCAATCCTTGGCAGACCTAGTTAGAATCCTGCCCATCTACTCATTGGGTCTTATCACCCAGCAAGTATTCTTAAGATTATACTATCAGTGTCTGGCCAACTCACACACAAAAAAGCTCTGTTTACCCAAAGGGGTGCTTGTATTGGCCCAGTCTCCTTTCTTCATGTGAATGTTCCCAAATGATGCAACAACATGTGCATCTGGTACCACATCTCTGGGTCCACTCAGGACTTAGTCCAGAGCTCACATATTTAAAAGGCTGGCTTAGCCAGAGTTAGACCTTCCAAGTCCTTTGAAGTCAGTAGACTTAGAAGGATTGATTCTGCTTAGGGTAGTACTGTAAGGAACAGTACGTCAGTGAGATACAGCATCCCGCAATGTACCACTTTATGTGATTTGAATGTCTTTTATTTGCTCTCTCCATCTGCAGATTGGAAAGAGAGGCTACTCCTGTTAATATTGACATGGATGCACTTCTGAGAAGATGGAGAATATTTTTTCCTGATGCGACGAACTGTATCAATCTCTGTAGAAAGCAGCAACAGCATTGCAGGTTTTACCATGAGAAAAAGAAGCGCCTATTGTTATCCCAGCATTTTTTATCAATGAATCTGCGGGAGGACAAATTAGTATCACAAGAGACCAAGATGGGGGAAATGACGTGTAAAAGTCAGAGGCTAATGTTACTAGGAGGCCTGATCTGTCCCGCTAGCCCTGGCTGCTACCATTATATGCCATACACTGTCCGAGCAATGGAGAAGCTCATCAAGGTGATAGACCGAGAAATGCAGGTCATAGGGGGTCATAAAGTGAATATGCCCACATTGTGCTCAGCAAAGCTCTGGAGAGCCAGTGGAAGGTGGGAGCTGATGGGCAAAGAGCTCTTACGCCTGGCAGACCGACATGGCCAGGAATATTGCCTCGGACCCACTCATGAAGAGGCCATCACAGACCTTATAGCTTCTCAAGGCTTGTTGTCCTACAGAGAGCTCCCCCTCTTGCTCTACCAGATAACAAGAAAGTTTCGAGATGAGCCAAAGCCACGCTTTGGGTTGCTGCGTGGCAGGGAGTTCTATATGAAAGACATGTACTCTTTTGATATCTCTGAGGAGGCTGCCTACAACACATATGCTCTGGTTTGCAGTGCATACTGTAATATATTCAATAGCTTGAATCTGCGGTTTGTGAAAGTCCAAGCAGCCACAGGGAGCATTGGGGGGACAATGTCTCATGAGTTCCAGCTTCCTGCTGACATTGGTGAGGACAAGCTGATGACATGTACAAACTGTGACTTTTCAGTGAATGTGGAACTGATAAATGCAGACCAGAGGTGTTGTTCAGTTTGCAAAGGGGAGCTAGTTGAAACCAAAGGAATTGAAGTTGGCCATACATTCTTCTTGGGCACCAAATACTCTTCTGTTTTTAATGCCACTTTCCAAACTTCTCAAGGTAAGCCTGCCCTAGCTGAAATGGGCTGCTATGGTTTAGGTGTGACACGCATCCTGGCAGCTTCCATTGAAGTGCTTTCTACAGAGGATGCCATTCGTTGGCCAAGCCTCATTGCCCCTTATCAAGTCTGCTTCATTCCCCCAAAGAAAGGCAGCAAGGAGGAGGAAGCAACAGTGCTCCTGGAAGGTTTATATGACTGTGTTGCTGAAGCAGTCCCTCAGCTCAAAGAGGATATTGTGTTGGATGACCGGATCCACCTCACCATTGGTAAAAGGCTAAAAGATGTTAAAAAACTTGGGTACCCCTATGTGATCATTGGTGGGAAGGCGGCTTTGGATGACCCTTCACTCTTTGAAGTATGGAATCAGAACACCGGAGAGAATTTGTTCCTCACCAGAGAAGCCATTATTGACTTGCTAAGTAAAGTGCCAGCTTGCTAATTCTTGAGCTTTTGACTCTTGAGCTAAATGCTTTCGAAATAAACAGGAGAGTGAGGAGGTGGGGGTAGGGTTGCTAGTCTATATTGTCTAGCCCAAGGACTGAAAGAGGTTATGACAGTACCTCTTTCCCAGAGCCTCACTGACACTGTTTAACCATTGACTTCCGCATTGGTGATCATTCCCGCTGCTGTTGGGATGTTTCTCCAGCACTGTAGCCATCAGGTTAGCCATTGGTTGTACACAGCAGCATACAGCCTACCTGACAGTCTCTCTGTGGGAGAGCGGTAAGAGGTAAATGTTAAAATACTTTGAAATAAAGTGCTTACCAAGGTCCTTTTCTCCTGAAGCAATCCAATGTCCATGGCTGATATAAAAGTGAAACTGTGTCTCCTGGGAGTTTTGCTGGGTGGAGTGGGGGGTGAGATCATATGGTCTGAGTACTTCACTGGCTCTCTGAGTATGGTGTGTCTAAATCTTTCTGATCTTTTGCTGGCTAAATTATGTGAGTTCTGGTTACATTACTTGCTTGTGTCCTAGTGTGGTGCCTTGGCTATACAAGGCTGGGAACAAAATTTTAGTCCAGTGGGACCTTTAAGACAACAGAGTTTTATTCAAGGTATACGTTTTCATGTGCACACACAGTTCTTCAGATACATTGAAATGGAAGTTTCCAGTCCATACAAACAAGTAGAGGGTGAACAGCAAATTAACATACAGTATAACTAGGGCTGCCAAGCTGCGGCGGGGGATTTGCTGTTACTCACAGGATCCCTGCCGTGGGGGACAGCGATACACGCTGCACCGCCGTCGCCAGGATGTGACGCTACGTGTCGCTCTGGCAACGGGACTCCAAACAGCCCCGTTGCCAGAGCGACGCGTAGCGTCACATCCTGGCGACAGCGGTGCAGCGCGTATTGCTGTTCCCCGCGGCAGGGATCCTGTGAGTAACAGCAGATCCCCCGCCGCGGCTTGGCAACCCTAAGCATAACAAAGCTGTTTAACAGATGCTAGGACCAAACTGAAATAACTAGCTTAGTTTATATGGTCACCATTTGTTTGAATTTAATTATGGGGGGAAACATAGGTGCAGCAAATAAATATATCAGAATTGGAGATTTATGTGTAATTGTACCCTTCTTAATTGTGGATTGCTGAGAGTAAGTCTCGGTTAATAACTCTCAGCAGTGCAGCACCACAATTTCACTGTGTCTGAAGAAGAGTGTGTGCACTCGAAAGCTTATACCTTGAATAAAATTTTGTTGGTCTTAAAGGTGCCACTGGACTCAAACGTGGTTCTGTTGCTTCAGACCAATACTGCTACCCACCTGAATCTATATAGAAGCCTGGGACAGCTTGAAAAAATTTTAAGGGCTTAACCTGAGAATATTTTTGTTTGTTAAGATATTGGTATCCCACCTTTCATCTTGGTTTAAGGTGGTGAACTTCTATCAAGTTGGAGTTTAACATTTTTATTTTACTGAAATCATGCATTTTAAGTTGAGTGTACCTACAAGCTTTGTGTTTGATTTTAAAGTCAACTGTCTGCTGCCGGTCTTGGGTCACAAGGATCATGAACCAGGTAACAAAATGGAAGGAAATGGCTTAACAGTCCTGTTGTCAATTGTCTGAGTGAGAAAAATACATCAGTTGTTGAGCTCAAAGCCAACCTCCTTATTACAAAGAGGTCTACTACTGTCTCTCATCTGCTCGTCCAGGATTTTTGAATCCCGTATTGTAATCTGCCTCTTTTAACATAACGGCTACTCAATGGTTTTGTAAGCATCAGTTTGTTTTAAATGGTATTCCATCCTGCAAGACATAACAATAAATGACAAATGCGCTCATATGTGAAGAAACAGGTGAGGAACAAGGAAGCCCTTGTTCAAATCTCGCCTCTGTGATGAACTCACAATGGTTGATAGTTGGCCTTAAGGCTGTTTCTCTCTCTGCCTCAGCTTTCCTAGCTGCCAGAGGGGAAGACTGGCCTATCTTCTATATAGCCTCCATTGTCTTTGCTGCTTTGTGACAAGCACAGCTGTCATGAATTTAATGAATGATGACATCAGCCACTCCATTGTGACGTTTGCTAGAGAACCTTTCTCTCCATCAAAGAAAATGAATGCCAAACCAGCGTAACTTCTGCCAGCAAAGTAAGCAAGTATGGTAATTTCCTTCCCTAATCCATTTGATGTTGAGTTCAGTTCCCTTATCCACAAATGCTACAGACCTGACTTCTTCAAACTTGTGAAAGGACACCTATAGGCAAATAGACTAACACTCTCTCAACTACCACTAATATGGTGGGTCTAAATGTAGGCAATGCAGATACAAATCCCCACATGGCACGGTAGACTCCGCCACATCAGGAAGTGTAATTCTCTACTGCTGAAAGTTGTGAGCCTAGTTGCTACGGAGAGGTGGTAACAAATGTAACATATTCATTGTTTGCCACATTTATACATGGATTATTTCAGGCCAGGAGCTTTTACTGTTTTTGCTTTTATTACAATTGCAGGAGATTTCTCACAATACCTCGTCTGAACCTTCTTTCAGCTTTAAGGTGTACACTCATCTCAGTACACTGGGACCAGTGTTCCCTCTAAGCTGAGTTAGTGTGAGCTGGCTCACAGTTTTTTAGCCTCCGGCTCACACGCTTTTGTCTTAGCTCAGGAAGGATGGCTCCAGAGCGAACTAATTTATGCAGTAGCCAAATAGCTTGCTCACAATTCTAATGCCAGTAGCTCACAAAATGGAATTTTTGCTTATAGGACTCCACAGCTTAGAGGGAGCATTGACTGGGACTCTTCCTAACCCAGACTGGCCTCTGATCTGAATAGTCTGTCAAATACTGAAAACAGAGATTTACTCAGGAAGAGGACAGTGATGTTCTGAGTTTTAGAAATAACTTGTGCTGACGACCACTTCCCAGTTATTCTCAAAATTTGAATTAGTTGTGATTTTTCACAAGACACTAGGCTTCCTCTGTAGAGAATTAGATAGGCTGGCCTTAGCACCCAACTGCTTCAGTAAGTCAAAGAGTGGCCTGGTCTATCCAGCAGAATGAGGTGATAAAATGGACTGTACCAACTTCAGACACATGGGGAGATTGGTCACATTTTTAAAAGCTCCCTTGTGTAAAAAAATATCCCTGTAAATAGAAAGCTAGCACAACAGAGTGTGTGACTAGAACTTATCTCTGTGATGTGCTCATTGGCCATTATTCACCCATGTAAGCATTTCTATGCATTAAAAAGTGGTAGCTCCCACCTGTAGTCTGGTATAGCCCATCCTACCATCTCAGCATTTTACCACTTCTCTTGTATATGCAGGCCAGTATCATTTACAGAATAAAACAAAAATCAAACTCTTATCAGCTGTTGTAGCATGGTATTTGGACTCAATCATTAATTTTCCTGGTTGTGGATGATTTTGAGAGATTCTAGGTTTACAGTAGCATGGTAACTTTGCAAGGCAGAATACTTTACTTTCACCAGTTGGACATGACTGAATGGCCAACAACAACAGGGTGATCAATGGTCATTCATGCTGTTCATGCTGTAAATATAAACCTTAAAGTTTTGAAATTCCTGAAGGGTTGGGATTAAAAGGAACCTTCTATGTATTGTGAATGAGCTAGAGAAACTATAGAGCATCTTCCTGTTAATCTGGTGCTCCTTTGGTGGTTCAAGAATGCACACAGGTGAGCCCAAAGATGGAGGAAGATCTGACCTCTGCCAATGAAGAATCTGCTGGAGTCCAGATGGCCCAACAACACCCTCTAATGGCCAGGAACATCTTGTTTGAACACCTCTTGTCACAAACAACTTCTGAAGGTGAAGAGCAGTTTAGGGAAATGAAGTGGGAGCTGGTACAATATACACTATACAGATGCAAATATTAAAATATGGATCTTTTATGTCTGTCCTTTGCAGAGCTGATGTTCCAGGTGGTGCCATGGAACACACACTGTTAATTTTATTAATTGTTCACAGAGCTATGATGCCTTTCTAAGGAATCTCCCTTATATATAAAAGCTGAATGGTGGTGGCACTTCTCTAGAACATTCCATACACTCCGGAATTGGTTGGCGCCCTGTTGTGTCACTCAGAATCTGTCCCTATCAACTGGCTGCATTGCTTGAGTCTCACCTCCAACATTCTAAACAGTTTGCTGTTCCTCTCTCCCACCTCCCGTAGCCAGTCAGAACACAGAGGTCATTTGCATATGCAACTTGATTGACTTTTGCCGCTAACATTCTAAACAGTTTGCTGTTCTGAGGTAAAATGTGTCTAATCTCCAGGTGAGGGCTGGAGATCACTCAGAATTACAACTGCTTTCCAGATAGCAGACATCAGTTCCCCTGGAGAAAATGGTGGGCTCTGTATCCTTATATGATGCTGAGGTGGGCCCCGTATGACAGCCAATGTGACGTAGCAGTCAGGGCTTCAGAGCACGGGAGAGGCTGCAGGTGTGCGGGGGGTGGAAAGCTGAAGAATGAGGGGGAAATAAAGGTAGGTTGATGATTGGCTGGGAAGGACATAGGTTTGCCAACTCCAGTTGGGAAATTCCTGGAGATGTGAGGGATGGAGCCTGGAGAGGGTGAGGTTTCAGGAGGCGTGGGACCTCGGACAGGTACAAAGCCGTAGACTCCACCCTCCAAACCAACCATTCCCTTCTGGGGAACCATTGTTGCCAATCTCCAGGTGAGGGCTGGAGATCACTCAAAATTACAACTGTTCTTTAGGTATCAGAGATCAGTTCTGGAGAAAATGGTGGACTCAGTATCATTATACCCTGCTGAGGTCGCCACAGCAAATTGACAGTGAGTGTCCAAGCCCGGGGCACCCGCCCAGAGCCTCTTTCTAGAGGCCGTTGTATTTATTTCCACAACGGGACTTTTCCCTAGTACTTAATAAAACTAAATTCAGGTTAGATTCTACATGCTTGATTAACTTGAATCTTCAAAGTTTAAACTTCACAGTAGCCTTGTGTGAAGAGGGGAAACAGTATCTTGCCTTTTCTGGTCCAAAATCTAAGCATGTGTTTGAGTTCCATTTTTCTGGCCCACTAAATCCCATAATCAAGAGGCTGGTGGAAATTACTGCAATCAGACTTCCTTGTTTATGTAAAAAACCTCCTGGCAGCTTTAACTTGTGTCATGGTCAGGTTGCTGGGAGCCAAGACTAATAACATAGATCGATGAATCCCATTTGAGTCTGGAAGAAAGCAAAGCCCCATACCAGTAGCTCAGATTTGGGAATTAAAATGTCAGGCAGAATGAGAATTTTCTGTGCAAATCTTAGAAAGTTCACTACCCCAAGACCCCTGCTTACTAGCCAAACAAGGAGAAGCAATAGACATTTCCATAGTCTGCTGCTTCCTGTTCCATTCACTTTTTATTTTATCAAATTCAGAATCAATAGGTGCCTATGGAATGATGCTGTATGATGCTGTAAAGCATGAGAGTGTGCTGAGGGAAGCCCTTGGAACAGAGGCGCTGAATGAAACGGTAGGAGCAAGTTCTGCACGCTAGTCTGTCTTTGCCATCCCCCTTCCTAGTGCTTGATTCAACTGTGGAGTATCTGCTTGCACTTA